GGGGGGGCCTTGTCGTGCCTTTCAGGGGTTGAAAAAGGATTTTGGTACATGTACCTCTTGGGTTGTTAAGCCTCAACAGGTCCACAGCGGGAGTTTTCATGGTACCATAAGCTTTTAGGGTATTGAGCCGAAAAGAATATGAAAGGAGATACACTGTATTTGACGATTAACTTCACGAGTAGCTAATCACCTTTGTTGCCATTAAAAAAATATAGAAGTGTCAGTTAGTGCCACGCCCAAAAAACATTGGTACCTCTAAGGGGTTCTTTTCAAAGTTTCCAACGAGCACCCCCGTCCTTTTTATCAGGGAGTCCCCCACGGGGCTGTTACCAATAGTAGTACATAACAAAAAGTGTACATTACATTGATTTTAACAATGTTAATAACAATAGTTACAGTTTATGTGTTGTTTAACTTTTAACTAAGAGACGACCTAAGCTCTAAATCACAAAGGTCAAAGCCAGCCTGGGTCATTATAAAGCTAAGACAAGCAGAGACAAGCCAATGCAAAATGTTGCACAACATCTAAGTGGATTGGCTAAAATCAAGATGGGGCACTGACCTGAACTTCAAGAAATGCAGTATCATTTACAATGTATCGCCTCCTTCGTATTTTGTCATGACAAATGAACTTTGCAAAGCCGTAACCGTTATTCTCCTCTGCTCTGGGCCGGAGCAATGACTCACTATCGTCGTCACTGAGATCAAGCTTCATCACAACGTCTTCTCTGTAATCTGGGTTTTCTTGCTGATCGATTAATCTAAATGTCACGGTACGTCTAAAAGGCCAGGGCAATATAGCGTCGTATTTACCTCTCATGATCACAAGGAAGAGGGAAACATAACCATTTTTGCCCGACCTTGACAAATCACCACTCGGTTCCATGAGTACTTTCAACTTGTAGCCATTTGCCCCAGAGAAAAATGGTTCACTCTCAACGTCTGTGCTCCTCCTGGCTTCCCTTAAAATCTTATGCATGCCATTTATCTTCCAGATAAAAGATGGTGATTCCCTCTTGTCATCAGAAACTCTGGCGGCTTCTCTCTCAAGCCTTAAGTCATAGAGGTAATCATTGATTTCAATTCTTGAAGTTAGGCTTGCCTGAACTCCATCTATTTTCGCTTCAACTTTCTTCTGAAGAGTATCAACTCTTTCATCCACTGTCTCTTGAAGTTTCTTTTCCAAGGCATCCACCTTTTCTTCAAGTTTTCTTGTTGTTTCTTTGAACTCTTCCTGTGTTCTGTGCAACTTCACACAAGCCAAGTCAAGATGAAGTCTTGCTGCAGACTCCAAATGTGTTTCAAGTAGCTTTCTCTGTATCTAAAGGAAGAAACCTGTCTCAGTGAGAGTAATTTCCCACTTTTATATACTAATTCATACTTTTACCCTTTTGTAACAAATCAAAAAAGCAGCTGTAGGAGAGTGCTCCACAAAGTTATTTAATAGGTTCACCCCACCCCATGGTCTAAACCCTTACCCTTTAATCTACCATTTTGCAAGGAAAGGTTTTTTTTAAAAAACACCTTTCATAGAGTATGGTACCTCTTTCACACATTTACAGGGTGTACATTGTGCCATTCCTATCTATACCCTTAAAATGATTAATCCTTTAGAATAATAGGATGAATTAAAGTTAAATGAGAGTTTCTATAACCCTTTCTATACTCGGTACCCATGAAATCCCACCCAACCCAACCCACTCGACCCAACCCACTAACCCACCAACCCATCAGTCAACCAATGGATCAATTTATCAGTCCATCAGTCAGTCATTCAGTCTGTCCATAGCCTCCAACACAGACGTTTGGGCTCATCAAGCAATCTTCCTCCCCACAACCCAGCCCACTCAACCCAACTGCCTAACCCGCCAACCCATCAATCAACCAATCAACCAATCAATCAATTTATCGGTCAATCAGTCAATCAGTCAGTCAATCAGTCTGTCCTTGACCTCCAACACAGACATTCTTTGGGCTCATCACACAATCTTCCTCCCCACGATCCAGCCCACTCGACCCAACCCATTAATCAACCAATCAATCAATTTATCAATCCATCAATCAATTTATCAGTCAATTAGTCAATCAGTTAGTCAATCAGTCTGTCAGTAGCCTCCAACGCAGACATTCTTA